AGAGAGAGAAGGTCAACTTCTACATACCCAGCAAGATCAACCCTGAGGAAGGTTCCGGCTATAGAAAGGAAACTCAAAGAGAAGAAACTTCTTCAACGAGGCCGGCAAATTCCCATATACAAAAGGTGGCAATGGAAAGAAGGGGCTGCAGTGCAAAACTTGCATTAGAAATGTACCAATGACAAAAATAAACTCTCAATAAACTATTAAACACCAACAAATAGAAGAATAAAATATTCCAATGAAACGACCTAGTCGTCCTTTTATAGTGAAGGTATTCTGCTGAGCTCCCAAAGCGCTTATCAGCTGAATCCTGCTTGCACGCATAGTTGACAAAGAGTTATGACCTTCAATGTGAGAACAGTGTAATATGTGAGAAATTATGGATTGGATGAAACCTCAAGTAGTGGGATGCCACTGATGAAAAGCAGCAGCAATGTTAGGAAGGTTGGTCCTAGAATAATAAGCCATTCAGCTCCTTCTAGCACAGGAGTAGATGCCACAAAAATGCCCCACCAAAGTAGAACCTACAAACAGCGGCATCACATATATCCTGCAATGTATGAGCAGATAAGAATGAACAAATAAATGAATCAGCAATCTAACTTACCTCACCAAAGTAGTTCGGATGGCGGGAATATCTCCAGAGACCTGCAGTGCACCACTTTCCTCGGTTATCTGGAGAGTTCTTGAACCGTAGCTTTTGCTGATCTGAGAATGCCTCAGCTGTTATGCCCACAGACCACATAACCCACCCAATAATATCTTGAGGATTAAGACTTGGATTTCGGTCACTGGCGTTCACAATTGTTACTGGAAGACTCACAGTCCATACCCAGACAGCCTATCACCAATTCATAATGCGATATGACTTTTCATTTACTGAATATTGGGGACCAAATAATAATATAGGTCAGGGAAAAGAAAGAAATCTGCACTTCTGCAAGGGATACTTCGTTTGGGTTTATAAATTCTCTTGAAAGCAGTTCCTGTGAAGTAACTCCATGTTATACCCCCCAATAGGTACAACATGGGGTTCTCTGACTGACCATCAGTTGTTGGTAGATGTCAGAACCTGTTCCCTTGCAGTAGTCAATGCCGGGAAATGGTTCATCACCACCGTTCATTGACAATATCAGACTGTGAATTGCCGGTATAAACATCCCAAAACTAAGCAGATATTGCTTATTTTCCTTCTCTAAAATACCTTCAGTAAAACAAATAAAAATAAAAGTAATATTCCAGATTGAATTAGAATTTGCAACCTGAAATGTCCAAAAAACAGCTAACTTCCCCAAGTCCTTGCGCATTTCATCAAAACGACGGTCTTCACCCCATTGCAGAATCCTGTTTGTAGAATGGCATAAGAGCATTTAAGGTGACTAGCTTTGTCTGAAACAATTTGTAGATGTTGTATTTTATATGAAATAGATTAGATTTCTCATGTTACTGAAGGCCATATATTTTGATATATATCTTACAAAGATAGAGAAACTCTTCTCAGGAAAAAACATCTGGGAACATTTAGTATTAACTCAGAAATTGAAAAATCATGTGTGTCTAACAGAATGGCACCTGCTATCAATGAGGGAGGTTACCAATTCAAAATTTGAACATTGCACAAACCAGCGTACACACCCAAAACATTTAACTAAAAGAAAGAAACTGCAAATAATTCTGCTACAAGCTACTTAATTAAAATGACCATTTCATAGATGTGAAGGTCTAACTACCAAAGTAGTTTGAACATCACAGTCAACTTGTCAAAACTGTGATGAATAATGCATATAGGAAAAGAGAATTGGCCAAGAGAATTGAAATGGTATTATAGAGGTATTCCCTGAAAGATCGTGAAGTTCGGATGGGCTTTGAGAAATGATGTCAACTTCATCTTGAGCTTGTTGTATGGAAAAATGCTCTCGCGGAGAACTTGCATTAGGATACAAAGTGTGATCCAAATGCAATTAGATTCTCAGAAGAAACTTTCTAGTAATGAATAGAGTAACTTGTGTGAGAATTGCATCATTTGGGTAACAATATATTCATGATTGACAAGTTGAATGCGGGCAATGGGTGAAGAACAGGGAGCCTCAACGTGAATTTGCATTTTGGATTGATTTGTGATCCAAATTAGGTAAGGTCTTTAGGGAGCCTTTATAAGGTGTTGGATGAATTTCATGTGATTTGGAGTGCATCGATGATGTTTGCAATTTGACCATGAGCCACGAACTAAGGGCTCGAGGGCTTGCATGGGTCTATTTTGATTCAAATGTGGTGCAGCCTTATGGAACTCTTTGTTTAGGCCTTATGAAGGGAGATGGCGAGTTTGAAGGGATTTCATTGAGATTTTGCTAATCTTTGCAAAGCTACCATGCAGTCCATAGTGCTTTAGCTTGCCTCTTCAGGTGAACATGCAGATCCGAGATCTTGATGTGGTCAGTTGAACATGAGATCAAAGTAATTCAAATATAGAAAAGGAAAGTTTCATGTTGAGAGTTTGACTAAAAACTCTTTTCAGAATAAGGGAAAATCTTGATTGGGATATTCTAAAATTAAGGAAATGATATTAGAAGAAGATTTCTTTGGAAAATACCACAGATACAGCTAGTACAACGGAGATCGAATCACTAATCAGAAAATTTTCGAGAAGCTTGAACACTTTTGGGGAAAGTTACTCGGTCTTTCAATATCCTAAGGTTGGTCTTTTGATGGTAAATTAACTACAAACCTGCCAAAACAAGTTGATTTGACTTGTTTTGGCAGGTTTCTGAGTTCATCCGCCTCTTGAGGCGAACTCGACAATGTTGTAATCCAAACACATAGACCATGGGATTTCTTGCACAATAACAAAAGATACCTCATGAATTGATATTTTTAACGTTTCCTAAAGGAAAATGCTCCAAAAGATCAAGATTTGGAGATTCAAACTTCCAAAACATTGAAGATTTGGCTTATCCATCAAGAATTCAACCTCAATACAAGAGTGAACTTTTAGAGGCAAAAGATCCTCTTGGGGGACGATCAGAAAAGAGAGTTCCAGCATGATTTGGAGCCTATAACCTCTGAAATTCTGTCTGCAACAGATAGAGAGATTCCATATACAAGATTTGGGATAATTCTTTGAGATCTTGAGAACAAAATAAAAAAATTGAAGAGTATTGTTAGGAGGAGTTCTAGAGAGAGAAAGTTGCAATTTTGGCTCTCTCTCATCTGTACACAACGTATTTAGCATTCATATTGATCCTAGAGTGTCACATCTATAATCTTACTTCTTTGTCAAGTTCTTTAACATTTTTGCAACCATAGATCAAAGGTGTTCCATTCTTTGTATGTAAACAAAACAAGTTGCTTACGAGCACTTGGAACTCTTCCCAAACCCATGTTTTAATAAAAAGCTCTCATTTCTTGTGTGATCTTGAGCGAGTTTGTCCAAAATTTTGTGTACAATCTCTGGTCCATTTGATAGTCATCAAATTCCGGAAAAAAAAAACAAAAACAAAAACAAAAACAAAAATCTCTGGTCTATGTGTTTGGAGTTATATCTCTTCAAATTCCGAAAAAATAAAAAAATAAAAAAAGAAACTCGAGTCTTTGTGTTTGGAGTCATATTTCTCTTCAAAAATTCTTTAGTAAACATTTTAGCAAAACAGGGTGGTATGCTCGTTGAACAGTTTTGAGAAATTGTATGATTAGGAATTTCAATGCCTATTTCACAAATCGAGACTTATTTTCCACACAATTCTATGGTGCAAGTTTACACTAATAAATAGAATCTCAAACACAAAAGATTCAATGATCTTAAATATATGGTAATCATAGTTTTAACTTTAAGGTTGATCTAGAAACAAGTCATCCATTCAAATAAACATTAACACCAATTTTAATGTTTAAGTTGACCTAGAATAAATGATGAAAACAAACATCACCATGAATGAAACTTAAGGCTATAATGAAAATGTTTCTTTTGTACCAGTCAGTAACAAATAAAACAGGTATGGGCAATGAGAAATTTCCATAGAAGATAGCAGTATACCTCAACAACAAGAAAGATGCCAAACGGAGGCCCCATATCACCACTAATATGGTCAAGATTACCTGAAATTTGAGATTCGACGTGTAACAAATAAATAAACAAATAGTTTAGAGATAGTACAATGAAAATCAATATTCTTTTACTCAATTTCTATCCATTTAAATTAATATGTTTTCCAAAATTTCAATAAAAAATATTTTCCCTTGTGTTTTTTGACAAATAGTGAATCCTAAATAAGTTGGGAGCACTAACAATTATGAAGAACCAAGTGATAAATCTATTAAGAAAGATTCTATAGGAAGATGAACATGTCCATCAAGAAACAGAAAATTAAGTGGCCAGCTTTGTGATTGGTTATGTTTTTAATCCCCTTTATAGTGCACTAGAAACAATTGTATGCTTCATGAATGTGCATTACATGGATGTATGATTAGAGAGGTGGTGGTGCAATTTTAATCGCCTTCCTAGTGCACTAAAAACGATTGTAAGCTTCACGTATATGCCTTACATGAATGCAAGATAAGAGAGGTATGCATAACAATCAAAGAGAGGGGCGTGTTGGTCATTCTACAGAGTGCATATACCAGGAGCTTTTCTTGTCATTTCTAGACAACAGGGATACCTTGCAATGGTATGAAAATCTAGTCTAAGTCATCAAAATAAGAATATAAGTTCATGATCTCCTTAAAACTAAGCAAAATCAATTGTCCTTTTCTTTTCAGGTAAATACAAAATCAATTGTCACTCTACATATTTTAGACTGTTCCATATTCCACAACATTGAATTCAGGGCTAGGTGTCAAACTACAAGCAAGAGTTTGAAACTGGAACATAGGTGAGATAAAACAAGATATTATAATTCATGTTATTTGGTTCTAAACCAAAAAAAAAAAAGGCCATTACAAAAGGAATGACAAAAATTATAAAAGAAACCCTAGATAAGAGACTTTAGACTGCATTTGACTCAGATTCAATCATAGTGACACGACATGCCTATTTTTTCTATTTGACAGTTCTTTAATTTTCTTTCAAGATTGAAAGGTTCAATCTATGTCCAAGTTAAAACTATTAAAATGAAACTATAGTTCAAAACATTTATAATTCATTCATTCAAAGTTATACACATGTTCCCCAACAAGAATGAACCACAAATTGAACTCATTCAAAACCAGAGCTCAGTTAACTAACTGTCACACAAAACCTAGTGACTTTTATAACAATAATCATCGACAACATTAATTATTTAGCTAAATAATGCTTGTGGTTGAAGAAATCGCTGAAGTTTGGGTTCTTTGGGGGCTTTTAAGGCCTTACACTCCCCAAGTATGTATAGAACATGATCAATAAATGGTTACAATGGTGGACCTCATTCACGAGGATGTCATGGGGAACACCTAGCTTTGTCAAGCAATGAGAGTTGGACAAAAGCAAATATGTGCTGAACTTTGTCATCCCCTTAGAGAATATATTGATGGAAGAATTTTAATTATGTGTGGGAAAGAGATGAAATAGAAGTAGTGCATTGATGAATGCCATGATAGTTTGTCTAGCTAAGAGCCACCGCCAACTCAAGCACATGCACAAGGGGGTGGGCCATGGAGAAAGGTGGAGGTTGAGCATTTAGCATGAGTAGTGGAGAAAAGTGATTGGGGTAAGTTTTGATCTTACATGATAAAGATGGATGAGTCTTGAGAGATTAGGAAAACTATTGAAGAGTCTTAGGTGCTAAGGTTAAAGTGTTTGGATTGATTAGGATAAAGATAGGTACATTACGATTTGGATATTTTTGCCTATATATGGAATGATTAGGATAAAAATAGGTACATTACGATTTGGATATTTTTGCCTATATATATATATATATATATATATATAAGAAGGTACTAAACTCCTATAGGCGAAAGGAATAGTGTTTCGCCCCGCCATGAACTTGCTATGTCCGTGACAGTTTATTGAATGGACCGCAACGGATGGCGCAATGTGCGTGACCCCTCTACGTGAATTTTTTACCGTCACAGACCTAGCATGTTCGTGACGGTACCGCCATGGACATGTTAGGTCCGTGGCGGTCGTTTTATCTACACCGTCCGATTTTTTCTGACGATGATGTGCCCATAGGCGAAATCACTATAGCATTTCGCCTATAGGCGTTGTGTAGTCTCTTCCATATATATATATATATATAGAGAGAGAGAGAGAAAGGATCACATACGCAGTCTCGCGTATATAGTCGCTATACACCAAATGGTGGAGATTCAAAATGATAAACGGACGAAGCACAATAAACAATTTTTTCATTCGCTTTTTTTTTCCATGCACTTTTCTCTATCCCTCATTCGCCCTGCTTCTTCTCCGTCACTCTTGCTCCCCTGCCGCACCATCATACCCCCTCTCTCTCTCTCTCGCACCTCAGCATCCCTTAAGCCATCTCTCTCCCTCTTCATCTATCTCTACACCATGCATACCTCTCTACGCAGCAGCCAGCCATCTCTCTCTATGCAGTAGCCACCCCATGGGTTTCTGCAACATGGCTGTTTTCGAGCTTGTGTCCAATGGCTTATCATGTGATAGGCGATTCATTGATGGTTACAGCGAGAAAGCAAACATGGTTCCTTTCACTACAAAATTACCTCTTTTTCCTAGATGGGTGTTTGAGTTCTCAAAAACAATGGAGAGAATCCAACTCCAGTTCTATGACTTATGGAAGATCTTTCAGATATGGTTAGAGAGAGAAAGACCAAAAGTGGTTGGGTAGTTTAGTTTGTAAAATCACATCCTTATTTCAGACCAAAAGTGGGTTATGGGGTGCTGAAGTGAGAGAGAGAGGAGATGATGGGTGAGCTAGGGGAGCGAGACAGAGGAAGAAGAAGAAAAGCGAATGGGGAGTAAAACAAAGTGTACGGAAATAAAAAGTAAATGACAAAATTGTTTATTGTGCTCTGTCCGTTTATCATTTTGAATCTCCCCTGTTGGGCGTATAGTGACTATGCACGCGAGACTGCGTATGTGACCATTTCCCATATTTATATATATTTCATGCAAATGATTGTATAGTAATATCACGAAATAATATTCAAAAACCATGTTAGGGCTATTTGTTTCACCCAAATTTTAAAATATACACTCTTTTCATTCCAATGAACAATCATAAAAAAAAACAAATAATTGAAAACACAACCTAGAAAGTGTTTTTAGTCCAATTAACATAGGTTGTCCGCTTTGGTGAGTTACTTAGATCTAGGCCTTAGAAAGATACTTTTTCTTTCCAAATATTTTTGATAAATTTATTCGATTAACATTAAAAAAAAAATGATTTTCAATTCATAAAGACCTTAGATCTTGAAATTCACCAAATGGACGATCTAGCTTCACTGTTGGAGGGGACTCATTTTGACCATATATAGAGTGTGAATTAAAAAAAAAAAAAATTGAGATTGATTGCTGAGACGAAGAGAGTGTGTTGCAAAATTTTGGGTGATACAAATACCACAAACATGGTTTTCTAGAAGTGTGGGTTCATTATATTATAATGGCATAGTGACAAGATATCATCTTTCTATATATATATATATATATATGGAAAACTCTTCCCAACGCCTATAGGCGAAAATGAACAGTGATTGCGCCTACCCTCATCACCATCCAAACTTCATCGCATAGTCACAACTGTCAAGTAGTGTTTCATTTTTTATTTTTCATTTTTTTTCTACATATCCAAATTACTTGAAATTTGGAGCGTGTGTACATCTTAGTGAGGCGCACCTAACAAAAATATGAAAAGACCAATTTGTAAAATATAAATTGAGCAAAATACCCCCATAAATTATGGTCTATAAATTGACCAAGCTAGACCGCATTTCTACATATGCGGTCCAGAAAGTGAAGTAGGTGTTCCATCTAAAAACAATGGAAACTAACGGTCCAAATGTTTTCTTACTTGAATTATTATTTCTAGTTTTTAAAATTTATTTATTTTTTTAATTCATGATCTCCATGTTAGAGATTACATGTCCTTAAAAATTAAATCTCAAAATCCATCTCAAAAATAGATTTATTAAGAGGCCCGCACTTCTACATATGCGGGCGTGGCCACATAGAAATCAGGTCTATAAAAATATGGAAGAGACAATGCAATGTTTATAGCCTAAAGTGATTTCACTTATAAGCTCATCATCGTCCAAAAAAATCAAACGACGTGGATAAAACAACCGCCACGAACGGTCAAAAATTCACGCGGAAGAGTTACAGACATTGCACCATCTGTTGCGGGTCTGTTCAATAAACCACCACAGACATAACAAGTCCGTGGCAGGGCAAAACACTATTCATTTTTGCTTATATGTGTTTTTAACACTTTTCATATATATATATATATATATATATACATGGGTTTGTCTAGAATTAACAACCCCTCAAAATACAAAGGTTAAAGTTAGAAGGGGTTGTGATGGATGTATTTATCAAAGAGACCATTACTTTTAATTTAAAAAATTATTTTAATAGGTAACTTAACCACTAAGCAAGGGCAAATTTGAAATTTTTACAAAAGTACAATGGAACTCTAGAAGTTAGTGTCCTGGAATTTTATTTGTAGAGTACCCTTGTCTTTTAGTAAAAATTTCAACTTTATCCTTCATGGAGATGACAAAAATACCCCTTGTCTTGTAGTAATATTTACAAAATTACCCTTACTTAATGATGAAGATATCACAAAAGTAACTTTTTGAAAAAATTAGTAAATCCACCCTTCACAACTCTCTCTATCTTTAAACTTTGTAATTTGAATTGTTGTGAAATTTAGATTATCCTTATATATATATATATATATATATATATGAAAAACAACTACAAAACGCCTATAGGTGAAATTCTACATTACTTCACCAACGGGCTTTATCACCGTTCAAAGTTTATCACACGGTCAAATATGTCTGATAGTGTTTGAATTTTAAAAAAAAAATTACGAATCATAATGATCTGAAATTTTGTAGGTGTGTACGCTTTAGTGAGATGCACATGAATAAAATACAAAACAAATAATTTGAATAATAAAAATTACGTAAAATATCCCTATAAGTTTCATGGGTAATTTTGTCATTTTATTTTGACTTATTTTTTAATATTTTATTTTGGTGCGACTTGGTCATATATACATACGCTCCAAATTTTAGATAAATCTGATTAGTACAAAAATTATAAAAATTCAAATACTACCAAAAATTGTGACCGTGTGATGAACTTCAGATGGTGATGAGGTGTAAGTGAAGTGCTGAAGAACTTCACCTATAGGCGTTTCGTAAATGATTCCTATATAGATATATATATATATATAGATAGATATATACACACACGTTGAGATCTAGAGTGTCATATTCTTCTTAGATTTTGCAATTCTTCTATGCCAAACTCAGCATGTCTCTATGTGTACTATCCAATTATGAATTAAGAAGTTAACTCCAAACAATGTCGCCGATGAATTGTGTTGGAAACACCCAATAGAAAGCTTATGAAGTGCAACAAATAGCAGTAGGATCATGCGTCTTACTCTTGAGACTAAAGAAATAAGAGACACTCAAATAATAAAGAAAGAAAAACCATGCAAAGGCATGCATTACTTAGAAATAATTCATTAATTTGTATCCAGGTAAACTTCAAAATTTAACATAGTAGGCCCCATTAACCTCATGCATCAATCTCCAACTTATAAAAGTTTCAATCTTGACATAAATGAGATATGAAAACAAGTAGAGAAAATTCAGATGCTAAATAATAACTAAACAAATACATGGAATAAAGAAGTAAACCAACTCATTCAACTGATTGTCTAACTATTAAATATTCAAAAAAAGATAAATAAGAAAAGAAAAGAAAGAAATCAACTTGTAATTGCAAAGCACAAAAGAAGGTAACACTGAGTTATTTATATCCCCTATGCCCTTCTTCATATAGGTTTACATGCAGTGATAAGAAAAGAAAATAATAGAAACTATAGAAAAAATATTAAAAAATAATAACATAAAGGCATCGACATTTCCATAAGAAATAAATCTCCTACCTGTCTAAAATGCCATGATCCTTTTAATATCAAGGTCAATACACTGAGTATCACGAAATTTGTACTTCCTGTGAAATGTAAAAGAAATATGAGAAAATTGGGTGGGACTTGAATTTTGGAACCCATTGAACACCAAGAAACACGGTGGGTGGTTCTGGTTCAGGGTATCAAGGATGCAGAAATAATAAAACAAAGACCATCGGCTGATATCTTTAGAACAATTATTCTTATAATAGAGCATTATATGATGGAATGAAAAACACAGGTGACTTAAAGCAACATATAACATCTTTCTCTATTTCTTGGTCAAGCAAGTAACATGGTAAGAACTCATTTATATGTAAAGGATCAGATCACATACCACAACTCAACATGTTTATCACATAAACATCAAATGTATATGCTTGCATTGATTTCTATAAAACACGGCGAGCAGGAAAGGGCACTGTTTTATCAAGTTAACCTCAAGTGCATAGGAGATCAATCCAAACTTCCAAACACAGCAGTGTCGCCAAAAAAAAAAAAATCCTAAAGTATTGCCAAAGTTATGAAATTGAAATCTTAAATCAAACTTGATAGGAGTTTGATTCGACTAATACATATTGCTTAATTAAAACAAATGAATGAAATGCATAAGCCTTGACAATATAAAACTCATGGTTTATATGGATACACCATGGAGGAAAAAAATTTGAATTTTCTGAAAATTCAAATGTTGATGGGAAAATTAAAAAATATCCCTTTAAATCAGACATCGCTGGAACTATATACTAAGGACAAGTGCCCACACAAGCTGTTTTGGGGGGGGGGGGTGGGGGTGGATCAGAAAGCCCATTTGCCACTTCTCTATTATTAACTCTCTTTACCCAATACAGAGATTTGAACTTAGGTCTCACTCTCACACTTCTCATTTGCAAATCAAACATGCAATCCATGTATCATACATTCAAATTCAACCAGATTTGAAAAGGTTCACTCTAAATTTGGTGCCTTTGGTTTTTCCATCTACTGTCCAACTAGACCTGAAATTTAACAAGAATCTTGCCAAATTTGGAAGTCATGAGCTAATTTCAATCCTATGATAAAGAGTTTATCCTAATTCCTAGATTTGACCCAAGTTGTTGGATTTATTTCTTGCAAACTCTATCCAGTACCTTCAGATCCCTGTAGGACTGAGGACAATAAAAGGCAAAATAATAAGTCATTAAGCATGATGCACTAATAAAACAACTAAAAAAGAAGGTAAAAAGCACCAAAAAATACACACTAGAAATCCATCGAGTGGAGAAGTTATGGAAATGTTCGCCTTTGAGGAATTGAAAACTAAACCAGAAACTGAAATCTCTTAATTAATAAAAGAGAAGAAGTGCAGATCTGACAATCAATGTGAACAAACACTACTAGTCCAATAAGTTTTCTTCAGTTGAGTATTAACAGTGTACCAAGAATTGATCAAAAGGAAAAATTAAAAGAATTATCACTATGGAACTCCAAAGACTAAGAGAATTGAGATAAGTCCCATTAAAATATATGCCACATCAAGGAATCAAGCTTGGTCTTGAGTGGTTGATGTCTTGACAATTGCAACACTACATCGCAAGTTCGAATCCTACAGCTGGAATATATTATCAATAGAACCCGCTCTAGTGCTATACAATAAGAAGTAGAGTTTGAGATGTTATAAGGAGACAGGAAGAAAATTAACATGAACAGTCATACCAATGTTGAAAATCTTGAACTAATAGGTGACTCTGCCAGAGCTAAGCCCGAGTTGACTGAATGACTCAGACGGTTAACTCAGACAAACTCACACGAGTATTTCAAAATTGTGAAATTTTTTAAAGAAGAAACATAAAGTTCTTGTAAAGATATTTTAACCCAGCTTGTAGTCAACTCAAACCACATGCTTAGCACAGCAGAAAATGCCATTTATGTGTCAAAAAAAATAAGATAAAGAAATAAATGACCAAAACTCGGGTATATTGGGATTTTCCATTTATAAAACTCGCCAATGGAGCAATTCGAGTTGATTTGGTTAGTGTACATCTGTTGCTAAACAAGATTTTATTTACTGATTCAAACAAAAGGACTTCAACAATAAAAACTAAATCTAACTGATTGGAAGCAGTACATGCTTGCGAGAAAAGAGTCCATAACAAGCAGTACAATGCACATTCAACTCCTTACAATGGACCCAATCATGAAAACCTACTCGCGTGCTTATATAGGAGTCTAGGAGACAAAGTTCTCTATCCATCCGAGTTGAACCTTACTCAACATTAATGTGACAATTGAAACACACATTGTATAAACTTCCAAAATGTAAGCTCGAATTCATCATATTAAATGTATTCAAGAATTTATTCCAAGAAAGGATACAGAAAAATGAGACATGAAACAATACAATGCTCTATAACATAACACAGCAACAGTTCCCGGCATATATCATATCCCACCAAACTCCTATAAAAGCCTAAAACTTATCCATTCTAGCAAATGAAAAGAAGTTGTGAACTGTGTTTACTGTAGGGATTTGTTAGCAATTAAGAAATTTCAAGCCTGTTTTAAGTACTCCTCTAAATCATAGGATTTTTACATAAAGGTTCCCATCCAAAGGCTAGCATAACCCAAAGAACTGTTAATTCAATAATACCCCATACACAGTTTCAGAAAGTTTATTCGCCTCTCATGTTCCCAGCCAACAAAAAGAATAGAACAAAGAAGCAAACACAAAGTTAAAGGATAGAATAAAGAAGCAAAGTTAAAGGCATTCCCCTCCCCTGAAGAATCCTTACCTGCAAAATCAGTGACCTTATCAAACTTGAAAATGGCCGTGATTACAAAGAAGAGGAACTGATATCCCACCTGTTATAGCCACAACTCTCCGGAATGGTCATTCAAATCACCATACAAAAAGAATTTCTGATAGAGACACGTTTGGAGAGAGAGAAACAAGAGCGCATATGAGAGAAAGAGAAAATTACAGTGACAATGGCAGTTAGGGCCAAGAAATGGGAATCCAATACAGTGCCCATCCTCTACAAGTGATTTGACCCTGAGAGTTACAGTGAATTCAGGAGCTCTTCAAACTTTTCGGCTTCCCTGTTCTTGTTATATAATTTTTTTCACTCCTTAGAAAATTCAGATGGGGCGGCTCTCGGCACAGTTTCCGCCACGTGGCCCTCCCGAATTAAACCACTTTCTTTCCCGGTTTCACATTTGCATTACAATGATCCCGCCGGGCCATATTGTGCATTCTCTTGCAAGGGTGGAAGACTTCGGATGATTTCAAATTTTGGTAATCCGCGTTAGAATCACAATGTCAAACAAAAAAGATTGAATTCCAACTTAAATACTTCCGTCTGACGAGCAAAAATTGCAGTCCTAAGGATTTTATTTTTCAAGGCACTTTGGACTTGTTGGATTAAGTATGAAATTTTTATTTTGGAAGTTTGTTGTCACGTGAAGAATTTACATCCCTAAATTTTAGTCCTAACAATACTACCAAAATTTTCTTTTCTTTTTTTTTTTTTTTTTTGGAAGTTGGTCAAGAAGTAAATTTTGAGTTTATTGAAGTTAAACCCTTGGTCCTAAAATTGTTGTTTGACAAGTTTTTATGGGAGGTAATGTATTTGAAACGATAACGTAGAATTTTTTGACAAATTCACATGATCAGAAAGTCACAATTATTTTTGACCGTTAGAGGTGAAATCTGACGTATTGAAATGTGTTATTACATTTAAAAACTTTTATTTTGGACTTTGTGCTCTAACATCCTGTAAGATTTCAAACATAATGGTCAATAGGAACTGTGATCTTCTACTTATTTGCTAAAAATAAGTAATGTTATCGGCTTTCTTTTGTCAAGTTGAGGGCATTCACACTTGACTAAGGTTTATGGTGCCACTTGGAACCACATGACATTATTTATAATAATAAAAAAAAACCACCATACTTGAGGAATTAAGAAAACCTCATGCGGTTGAGGGGCAGTTACGCTTGAGGATTTAGGCTTGCGATTGAGTGATAAAGGATATAATTATATTAGTGAAAATTACAAAAACCTCCCAAAGATACTATTTATATAACTTACCCCTTGGATAATTTTTTCCACAACCACCTTTCCTCACAAATACCCCCAAATCTAAAAAAAAAAAACAACTAAACTATCCCCTCTCTCCTCGTGGCTTTTACCCACGACTCTCTCCCCGTGCCTTTTACGCGCGCGCTTCAGCAAGGCAGAGACTCGCTTCGGTAATAAAGACACGCGCTCCAGCAATGCAGAGGGCCGCTCCGACAATGAAGACATGCACTCCAGCAATGCAGAGTGTCGCTCCGGCAATGAAGACGCACACTCCAGCAATGCAGATGGTTGCTCCGGCCATGAAGACACGTGCTCCAGCAATGCAGAGGTCACTCCGGCAATAAAGACATGCACTCCAGCAATGCAAAGGGTCGCTCCGGCAATAAAGACACGCGCTCCAGCAATGCAAGGACTGGCTCTGGTAGTACACCTTCTAGAGCCACAGTGCTTCGACAGTTGAATACATCGCTCCGGCAATGAAGACAGCGCTTTGACATTACACCTTCTGGAGCCACATCGGTCCGGCGATTGAATTGGTCGCTCAGGCAATACGTTGCTTGGGAACGCAAATTGACTTCTTTTTTTTGTACGTGAAGGGCATCGCTATTCAAAAAATAACAACTTTCTACCTTGGGGGATTTTTGAGAGGAAAGGTGGTTGTGGAGAAAAAAATGAGAAAAAAAATTGGCTGGGGGGTTAGTTGTATTAATAGTATACTTGGAGGGGGGTTTTGTAATTTTTCCTTTATATTATACAATTATATAATTATGTAATTATATAATTCTAAATCACTGTAAAGCTGTTCTTGCCTGGTAGATATTACATTTGATGTTTTCAAATAACTAAAGCAAAACGATTTTAAAGAGTATAATTATATAAATTTTAAAACTCATATAAATATCTGTTAAATCTACACCGTCCAACTAAAATAGACGTTATGAAACATTGCAACCTTACTTCTATAAATAAAGTTATATTCTTATATAAATTGTCCCTAGACAACAAGATAGATATACTTTTCTTTTTCAAATATAGTACTTTAGGGTTGAGGGGCATCTTTAGATGTTTGTATTGTTATGCATCCAACATTCCAAAATCCATCTTAACGATAGTTTTTGGATCCAAAACTTTACATGTCTATCATCTCGACCACTAAAATCATGCATATGAAAAAAAAAAAAGAATTGAGAGATAAAAATAGTCCATCATGTACCGTTTTTTATTGTTTGTTTCATTTATGAAAAAATTTATAGTTTTGGAGCTCCGAATGAATATAAGGTTATGATCGGCATGTGTTAAAAAATGTGTTTCGTATGTCAATTTGCTAAATATGGTAATGCCACACGAAATTTCATTTTTGGTTTGGCGTCCAACGTTTCCCGTATATTGCGTCTCAACTTTGTGTCTCAGAGGCGGTGTATGAAAAATCGGCCAGAGTTATCGGGCTCGGGCAGTGGCTGAGCCCTAGTTGTACCTAGTTGGGGTCCGTTGGAGTGGCCCTAGTTGGGGGTCAAACTCGGGATATTAAAAAACTTATCAAAATCCTAAAAAATAAAAAATCTATTTATAATATGTTTTTTATCATTTTGGCTATGAATGCTTCTTTTTATATATTTTTCCATTTTAAAAAATCTAAAAAATGCCCTCAATCACAACTGATTTTTAAAAATCTATTTTTTAGTTTCTTGTTTGAACACATTAAGATGTTTTTTATTTAATTTTATTTTAAATAATTTTTTTTCCTTTTTTATCTGTGATTTTATATTTTTAATATTTTTTCTATAATTTTTTTAACAATGTTTTGCTCCTACAATGCTCAGCTTGCGTTGTGGTCTCAAATACTGCCCAGAAGTAGGATTGACCACCCCAGTTTGTTGGTTTGCTTTGCTATTACGCAGGAAAATGTGGATTTTTGTCAAGGATTGTAAAGAGTTTATCTTTCAATGTGTCAAATCGCACTATTTTTATTTGCTTTCCTTATAAAGATGTGGATTAAAATTCAACATTGGAAAAATTGGAATAAAAGTCAAATAAATGACGTGGGCAATGTCAATAATCCTTTGTTGAAAAAGTAGCCAAGTGGATGGCTCTGTCTTGAAATTTTAAAGGGGAAAACTTTCTAAGCATTTTCTTTCCAATATTTTTTATACCATTTCATGGACCCCGAATTTTTTTATTTTTTATTTACTACCTAAGTTAACAATATGTCTTTTTTAAACCAAAATACCCCAAATTGACCTATGTTTTTATCAACTTTTTATTTATTTATTTATTCATTTTGTGCCGGACCAAAAATGAGTCCAATCTCACAAAAATGTGTCGGACCGACACAAAAAAGGGATTGTGTACAATGAGACTATTTACCTTTGATGCAAGATGGTCACAATTCTTTGCAGCCATTTGATATGAAATTTGATATCTTGGATGTGCCACAAAATTAGAAAAAATTTCATTTGAAGTTTGAGCTTAGTTAATGGAATAATTGCATCCACCCAATTTCACATCCAATGGTCAAGATTAATGTGACCACTTTGTATCAAAGGTAAATGGTCTCGTTCTATACTTTCCCCACAAAAAATGTATCGGACCGGTTCGGCACTATAAAAACGTAAGTATAAGGCGGAGAGAGGGATATTTGATGATAAATTTATTAACTTTTTGACAGGGAAAAAGGCGAAAAAATAGTATTGAGGTTCTTTAAGTATTTTTGGGATGTTTAGAGAGTAGAGTCAAGGGGGTTTTCATTAATTTTCGCTTAAAATTTTTGTAGAAACTCAAAGCATGCATGGATGTCACGTCAAAATATGGTTTAAAAGGCCCAATCATAGTTTGTAAAAAATTAGGCGGTTTGACTATATGTGACATTTGCGGATTCATGTGTTGGATTGTCTTTGATTATAGGACTTTGAAACACAAGTGGTTTCATAAGTTTTATGAAAATTAATGGATACCCCAAGATTATGTTTTGTAGGTATTGTACCACCCGGGAAACAATTTTTGTCTCATGTTTACCTTTTTTTTTTTTATCTCTTATTTTTTCTTATCAAACCGGTCTGACAGAATATATGTTGGAAATACACAACTTGAATGTAAAAGTTAGTTTAGGGCATTTTCCGTCAGACCGGTATAATGTTAATATAAGTTGATCAAACACATTTTGCTCCGATCCGACACATTTTAAAGATTAGATGTCAGTCCAGCACATGTTAAGCATCATATTTTGGGAGAGAAATTTGGGTTAAAATAGGGTACTTTGGTTAAAAGAAATTAACTTTTTTGTTTGTGGGGTGGATGCAAGAGTAAATAGTGTTAGGGCTAATAGTGTGTGATAAATAAATATTTATTTATTTATTTTATTTTATTTGTGTGTGTGTGGAAAGGAGGGAGACGTGACATGATAGTGTATTAAGTCAAACCCAAGTGATACAACTTCAAAATTTTCTCAATACAATACACTATGCTCCAAAATTACATGGATCTTACGTAGAAATTCACAATAATATACATCTTCAAGCCACCAAACTTACCTTCTCATATACTTGAAATCAAATTAGAGCTCTATTCGGTCCCTGGCTAAGTCTAAACACAAGATACACCAAGGAGATTGAATTAATACAAGGCAATATGCAAGTACTTAAAAACATAACACCATACAAATTACATTGCTAAATTATACATCACTTTGGAATTTCGTCTAATATATCAAAGTCAATCTTCTTCTCCACCAAAAACCAAACACTACAACTGCACATTAGATTTGATCATAAGTAGCTAAATTGACAAACTCTTTCGTGTTATGGCCAAAGTCTTAGCTATATACCATAGCATGACTTCTAGGGTAACATTAAGGTATAGGCCAATTTCAAGTCATCTCAACTGGAAGCAATTAAGCATCACATAATCTATGCTTTATAGTATATTTCAACATTTGAGAGGAATTAAGAATTAGGATGTAAATGAGGGAAAAATTATGGGAGAAAATTGGGACTGAAATCAATCTCAATTT